GAGCGCTCCTGGGGAGGCTCCCGCCGCTCAGCTGGGGGAAATGGTGCCTATGGGGAAAACATCGCAAAGCGATTTTTCCCCATAGGCAACATCGGTATGCGATCCCTTTTCCGATCGCAAAATCCGCATCGGTATGCAGATTTGTCGTTAAACGGGGCACTCATTATACGAGGCACCACTGTAGTTAAACCTTAAGTTATAATGTGCTTACTTACCCATTAATTATTGAAAAAATTTAAAAAGATATTAAGCTGTTCTATGAAATAAATGATAAAGAAGAAATGAAAATATTACAGGATCCTTTAATGTTATTTAAGGGCAAAATTTATAATGGAGGGGCAAGATTAAAGTAGAGAGAAAAAACCTTAAGTTATAATGTGCTTACTTACCCATTAATTATTGAAAAAATTTAAAAAGATATTAAGCTGTTCTATGAAATAAATGATAAAGAAGAAATGAAAATATTACAGGATCCTTTAATGTTATTTAAGGGCAAAATTTATAATGGAGGGGCAAGATTAAAGTAGAGAGAAAAAAATGTAAAGGCAATTAGAGGAAAAAATAAACTGTCAGAGGAACACAATAAATCAGGTTCTAATAAGACACGTCTATATAGGAGCTAGAATAGAATGAGAATACTTCAAACAAATAAAACTGAAATAGCTATGAGGTGTTTGAAGAGGATTTATTATGAATTTGAAGATAAAAACTCTAGAGTAGTATCCAAAGTTATAAAAAGCAAAGCTATTAAAAAGGCAGTTGTTAAAATTAAAACTCAAGAAAGAAGAATTGTAACTGCACAGCAACAAATTTTAACAACTTTTACGGAATATTACCAACGTTTTGAATTTCCTGCCCCCCCCCCCCCGCCTTTTCCTGGTTGTAACTCGAAGCTCCGGCCGCAAGTTGAAGCAAAATTTTGCAGCTGGAGCTGGTCGTAACTCAAAATGGTCATAAGTGTTGACCATATGTAAGTCGAGGCACCACTGTACTAAAAAGGTTTGATCAGCACACAATACTAAAAATAATTATAAAAAATCTAGATTGTTATGTATAAATATTCCTATAGAACAAAAGAACACTGAGGTAATGTTAGATTTGTGTTCTAGTTTTAGATATCTGGGTACAGTGGTGCCCCGCATAGCGACGTTAATCCGTTTCTGATTAATCGTCGCTATGTGGAAACATTGCTAAACGGAAAGAAAAACCCCGTATGGTGCCCAAAACTCACCGTTCAGCGAAAATCCTCCATAGGGGCGGCCATTTTCGGTGCCTCTAAAACGAGGCAACACAGCCGGGGGCCATTTTGAAACTGCCGATCAGCTGGTCGAAAATGGGGCCTTTGGCATTTTCCCCCAGCTGAGCGGCGGGAGCTTCGAAGCCCCACCGCTTGGGTGGGGGAAAATGTTGGCGGTTGGTCGGTGGTGGCTTTGGAAGGACCCCGAAGCCACCGCCGACCGCCGACATTTGCCTTCCGAGCTCTCAAAGGGCTCCCCCCCCGCCATTGGGGAAAGCCCTTTGAGAGCTCGGAAGGCTCTCAGAGGCAGCGGTGGTA